AAAAAGCGTTTTTTTTTCTTCAAAGTATAGTAATCAGTGCCCATTTAATGAAATTTCAAATGGCATGTATTCCCCTACATATTTTACAAAATTACAATAATTACATGTACATTATTCTCTTTGACAATTATTGTATCATGTTAAATACTATATCATTTTTAGTCATTTAACATATTCATAGCAATTTATATAAAATTTTACCTAACACTCATACACTATTGTTTTGGTCAAAAGTACTTTTACAAAAAAAGTTTACTAAACACTCAACAATTTTATTTTATAGCTATTTATTCTCACAACACAGCAGAAGCAATTTTTTATTTTTTATTTTATTTTATTTTTTTTAAGTACAACAATATCAAAGTAGCCCTTAGTGTGGATAGTAACTAGGGGTGGGTTAAAAGAAAAAACCGAAAATACTGAACCAAACAAAAAACCGAACCGAACTGAAAAACCGAACCGAACCGAATTCTTTTGGTTTGGTTTCGATTCAGTTTAGAAATCTAACCGAACCGAACCGAATTAATTAAATTAATATTTTTTTATTTTTTATTTAGTTATTTGTTTTGGGTATTATTTTCTAAATTTGTAAGCCCAATGTGTTGCCAAATGATGTATTATTTCAAAATGTGAGTTGTTAGGATACAAAGCTTCCAACAGGCAGAAACTAACCATGGGACATTGACAATATAGTATGTATCCGTCTTCTCTTGATAGTTTAAGTCATCAATTGTAGAGATAACAGTCAAAAGCTGCATCAACAGATCATACCCAAAACCTTCACACGCGTTCCAATATATTATCCATATTTCTTCGTTGCGGAAGGCTACAACAAAAATGGGGAAAAATCAGGCTCCTAAAAGAATTCCCTGTTAGAAAGATAAAACTAATAAATACTGACCAATACAACACGATCTCTGTACTCATTCATTTGGATGTGAGATTGGACATAGTAATTTATCTACAATGATAATTAATCAAACAAGTAAGCACCACCACAAGCAGTGGCAGATCCAAGAAATAATATTATGGGGGTCAATAAGAATAGTGCGTGTAGCACGCAAATTTTTTTTACTAGAAATAGCATGCATATCGCCATTTCATTGAGTCTTGGAAGGCCTGAAGTTATTTGGAAAGGCATACTGCACACCTGTTAATGTTTCATTTGCGAGGGTAACTAACATGTTCCAAGGCTGCTCCCATATGAATGCTTAACAAAGAAACACACTTATCTTGAACATACTAATAATGTTTGATATCATTGCATACCATTAATATGTTTGTCCAAAAATGATGATGTTGGAGGGCATGTATGAAGCCAACTCTAATCTTCAAAAGGGTAGTACCCAAGGTATCCATGGACATTCAACGAAGTTCGAAGGGTCAGCACCCAAGGTATCCATGAACATTCACCGAAATTTAGAGGGTCAGCATCCAAGGTATCCATGAACGTTCACCAAAGTTCGGGGGGTCAGCTGGCCCCCTGCCCCTCAGTGCATCCGCCAGTGACCACAAGAATAATAATATCACATAACTGCATACAAACATGCACCAAACTACATTTTAACAGAAACATGGGTACATAAAGCTCATTATTTTAGAAAATTTGCGTATCTGCATGTTAATACATGACCAATGTTATAATATCTTGAAACTCCATGGTATACTTGATGACTCATTTTCTTAGCATTGGAAGTCTCATTAACACCAAAATATAGAACATTATGCCCATAAATTCTATTGCCTTCTCTCAGGTCAGATTTTTTTCATTTTTTGAAAAAAAAAAAAAAAAACCAAAACCGAAATCGAACCAAAAAAAATCAAAAAAAAAAATGAACCGAACCGAAATTATTTTGACAAAAAACCGAACCGATTTGAACCCAACCCAACCCTAATACCTATGTCAAGCTTTGCTAGTGGCAAAATCAAAACTCCATTTTGTGCACGTGAACACTTTTTATACGTGTTTCACCACTCAAAGATCCCCAAACAACTTGATGTAAGCATTTTGTTGACTACCATTTGTATTCAGGGAAGTTGAAGATATGTCCAACAGACTTTCGTCACCTGAATTCATACCCCTAGTCATTTAGGGCTGGTTTGATATTGATGTGCTTTGAAAAAAAAAACTGTTTCTGCTGTACTGTGAGAATAAGCTGATTTTTGTTGCTTCATGTTTTCAGCTTATTTTCATCCAAAATTGTGAAAATAAGTTGTTTTTAAGTGTTTACCAAACACATTTTTTAGCTCAATTTTTTTATACCCATTTTTTATAAAAGCACATCAGTACCAAATCAGTACTTAAAGGACTTAAAAAAAACCTACCATGTGTTGCACAGATGATACTAAATTATTAACGAAAAGTATTAAAGGTGGATAAATTAAGAAGATTTTTGAAGCCGATGCTGTAAGATTGTCTAATAAAAGAAAATGGAAAAGGTCCTAAAATCTAAATGGTTAACTTGTAGATTTTTGCATTGACCATTTGAGCTCCCCTTCCTTCGGCTGAGAAATCGTCCTATGAAAAACTAGGTAATGATAAATACCTCCATTTTTCCCGAAAGAAGCTGACTGAGTTGGTTAATTACTTACCACCACCTTCAAAAATGAATGCACAAGCCATTAGGGTATCATTCCCAAATTTTTAATCTTTTTACTTTTACAATTTTCTTATAGTTTCTTCGTTTTGTGAATCCAAGTTTATGAAATTCATGCAGGAAATTAAGGAGATCAATCCACAACATGCCAAGGAGGCAAAGGTGAACACAGTAGACATCCAGTCATCGGCGGGGCAAGGCCAAGAACAAAGGAATGTGCAGGTGGTTCAACAGCCACATCCCTCCTCCAAGTCAAATACCAGCGGTGGAGTCCTGACTACTGCCGCTGCTGTGGTGGCAAACACCCTTCAGACCGCCAAGGATGCCATCTCCAAAAAATGACTAGCACATTACAGTTCAGATTTCAACACGTATATAATCCCAGATCTTGTCACGAATTACCTATGAGTATTACTAAGAATTGTAAAAATAGTTCATCCTTTTTTTTAGTTGGCAATTTTGATTTGTCATTTGTACAATGCAATGCAAAATGTTATGATATGCATGTATCCATGGAAGCTTTTCATATTGCATCAAGATTCAAGAACACGTTTGTAATAATTTGTTGTAAGGAATTGTGAATCAAATACAATCGGATCCAATTATATGATCAAAACACGAGCACTCCGCCCTGTTACCCCATTACCCTTACCCCATGAGCTAGAAAACTTCGGCGTTGGTGTGGGAGGAAGACTTGGAGAAAACAATTTGAAACCATTAATATGCTTTGGAATAACAAAGGTTTTGTATTTTAATTACTTAGGAATTTGTTAAGTTATTTTGAGAGTTGTAAGGGTGTCATGGAAACTTGAGGTCTATTAATTTGTAAACGCTTATAAATATTGTACTAGAAAGCCTTGAATGACAGACTTGATGAATGAAATTTATATTTACCTTGTGCATTTGAAGAGAGTGATTTCTCCTTCTAAAATCAAGCATTTGGCTTGGTCGTGTGAGCGCATCCACGATTAGCGATGTTGAGTGATTCCATTGCCCTTGATTGAGTGATTCCCAAGTATCTATCCCCCATTCTTTCTATTTCCCTTGATCCTTTGGTTCTCTTCTGCATCAAGTGGCATCAGAGCAGGTTTTCCGTTGCGTATGAAGATCATGGATGAGATTTTCCATCTGTTAAAAATCAATTGGTTGAAGAGACTAGCTCGGTCGATTGGAATTCGCCATTGATGATGACGAAGAAGTCAATGAGAACTTTGTTGATTGGAGTTCTACACCAATCTTGGACGAGAAAAATGATTATTACAAGTATTTGATTTTAGTGGCTAATCAAGAGTGTTGTAGGCAGCTTGAGGCCACTTGTTCTCCATATTGGGATTCTGCCCCGATTTTTGTTGACTGCCATGTAGACGCAGGTAAGAGTTCATGGGTTGAACAACGATGTGGACAACTTATAAAGAATGTGAAGTCTCGTGCATTCTGTTTTCATGATTATTTGGGATGAATTCATTGATCGTGCTTTGGTTAAGAGAAAATGCTTGGATAAGGAACTACCTTTTGCTCATTATTGGAGTTTTCTTTTCTCGTTCATGAGTATTTACGGTCTCCCAGAGGCAATAAGTTTGGAAGCCTATATGCATCACAATTCTTTTGGAAGAAAAAGGGGATCAGTCTATACATGATGGAAACAAAAAATATATTATGAATTTTATGCTCTTTGCAATGTTGCACGAATTGTGATCATCTTACTAAAATCTCTACTAAGGGAAACATTGGTTGGGCATCCAAAGGATTGAGGAATACCAAATGAAATTCGAGGATGAATTTTCTTCGAGAAGAGGAGAATGATGCAAGAGGAAGACTTGGAGAAAACAATTTGAAACCATTAATATGCTTTGGAATAACAAAGGTTTTGTATTTTAATTACTTAGGAATTTGTTAAGTTATTTTGGGAGTTGTAAGGGTGTCATGGAAACTTGAGGTCTATTAATTTGTAAACAGTTATAAATATTGTACTAGATAGCCTTGAATAGCAAACTTGATGAATGAAAATATATATTTGCCTTGTGCATTTGAAGATAGTGATTTTTCCTTCTAAAATCAAACATTTGGTTTGGTCGTGTGAGCGCATCCACGATTAGCGACGTTGAATGAGCTCCGTTGCCCCTGATTGAGCGATTCCCAAGTTATCTATCCCTCGTATCCTCGAGAACCCTTGGCTTCTCTTGCGTCAGGCGTAGACCATCTCTTGTCATATGGATGATATTTAATCATACATCCCTGTGCTTCTGATCGGCCCTTGAACTATCATATCATTTCTCCTCCGTCTGATTTTCCCCTGATCCTTCAGTTCATTGTTCCTGTAAACGATATACTATTCGTTAGGGTTTACGTTTTCTTGGTCTCATATTGTTTTAACTGCCTCTTTGGTTAAACAAGTTGGAAGCAATGGACCTGGCAATATCAAGGCTGGTGAGCATCCTCTTTGCAAGGAAAGAGATGAGAATACTAATGGCGGGTCTCGACGCTGCCGGAAAAACCACCATCCTTTACAAGCTCAAACTTGGAGAGGTTGTCAGTACCATACCCGCAATTGGTGTCTACTTCTGATCATTAATTACTCCAACTTTTTCTTGGTATTTCTCTTATTGAACTTACTATATATGTACCTACTCGAACTGGGATGAAAAAAAATCGGTTTCAATTGATTTTGTGTGACCAGGGTTTAATGTGGAAACTGTTGAATACAAAAATGTAAGTTTCACTGTTTGGGATGTAGGAGGACAAGACAAGGTACTAGCTTTGATTCTTAATTTAAACTAATGTTTTGGAATTGTATGCTACTGAGATATACAAAACTGTGGTAGAGGACGTGTCGGGAAATGTATCGATTATGTGTATCTAAATATATAGTACTGTTGATCTCTGTCACCGCAACATAGATCATATATAATTTGTATTTTTTTTATAGAGATTTTTTGTTCTTGATTAACTGTGTGCTACATGTAGATTCGACCGCTATGGAGACACTATTTTCAGAAGACTCAGGGTCTCATCTTTGTACTGGATAGCAACGACAGGGACAGAGTTTCGGAAGCAAGAGATGAGCTCCATCGAATGCTCAGTGAGGTCAATTTCCTAATTCCTTCTATAAATTGCTATCAAAACAATTTAATTTGTACCATACAAATGTCAATCCTTGTTTCTTTGGTTGCAGGATGAACTCCGTGATGCGACACTGCTTGTATTTGCCAACAAGCAAGATCTTCCGAATGCCATGAATGTTTCTGAGATCACCGATAAGCTTGGCCTGCATTCACCACGCCAAGGCCGATGGTAACAACCAAAACATGCTTCTTAATTACATACTATACTATAATAACTAATTAAATAATAAGGAATATTTTCTTAGATAGTTTGACATGTTATATTGTCAGACTTGAACATTTAAACCTAACTTGACCCAACCGACGAGATCTTGATTTACATTCGAACAAGAGAAAAACGACCTGAATAGCCAATCAAGGCCCTCATATATTCTTTTATGCTTGTGCATGGGTTTTAACATATCCAGGTACATTCAAGCTGTTTGTGTCACCTCCGGCCAAAGACTAATATGAGGGCCTTGATTGGCTATCCAGCAACATCTCAAACAAGGCATGATAAATATACCTAGCTCCTTTTATGTTTTATTTCTTATTGTACCAAATGTTTGATTGTATTTTTAGAGGATATATATATTTATAGTACTTCATTACTTATATATTTTTAGTTACTGCACAATGTATTTTTTATGGATAATGTCTTTGCATATCTGCAAACACAATCCAGTCAGTCTGGCAAGCTTTTAGTCCTGTTTAGTTTATCTCGATCTATGTCAACTAGTAAAATCCTGGCATCTTCAGTTATGCTTTATATACAAGGCATTAGAGTTCTTCGAATTTATTTATGGTATGAAACAACTAGAACTATTTTTTAACGTTTCAGAAAACTTTACCTGAATACATTTGATTTTTGACCTTTATCGACAAAAACATGCTCAAAAAATATATAATTTCAGCACCAGTTTTTCTGGTCGAAGTTTATCTTGTTTGATATAGCACATAGTTGCATGTGTGCCACTTCATTTGGTAAATCGAGAATAAAAGAATACATAGAGTGTATAAATACTTAGTTCTCATAAACCTTGGGACTTGGGAGACGCTTGATTGACTGGACTAGAACTGAGATTGGGCTATTTTACACCAATCTCAACCTGGACCAACATGAAATTAATTAAGAATTAGATTCATTAGCATTACACCTCACGAACAAGGCTACCTTTAAGAGCAGCTCCAACGGGAGCAACTGCTCGAGGGACAGGCTGCGGAACAGGGCCTGATTGCCCGAGGGAGGAAGTCCAACGTTGGTTGGTGAGCGAGCCCAAGCAGGCCCGAGCTCTAGGGCCGTGGATTCGTGCCGGCTCGAGCGCCCGAAGGCTGTCTGACGTGGGCTGACATCAGACGCCTACCGAGTGAATCGGAGGTCCACCAAACGACTGTACAACCTCCTGAACATCGTCATCGTCGTCCTCTTTGTCCTCATCTGCGTCATCCTCCTCGTCGGCGTCCTACTCCTCTTCGTCTACGCTGTTGTAGGATTCAGACTCGGACTCAGCCTGCGACTAGTACAGCTCCAATTGCTCGGCGGTCAAAGGCTTAACTTCGTTTTCCTCCACAACTTCCTCCATAGCCTTCATCCTCTCAAAGCTCACACAAATTTGCAGAGAAAATCTTCTCTTTGTATTCTTGAGAAAACGAATTGGGATTGGATTTGGGAGAGTGAATGAGATAGAGGAGGGAGGGACAAGAGAGGAGCTGCCAATTAGGATTGGATTACAAATAAAATTATTTTATAAATAAATAAAATACTAATATTTTATTGCCAATTGTCAAGGCTATTCAAGAGCAACGGTGGAGATGCAAAAGGCGATTACTGTTTATTAATGACAGTTACTGTTCATTAGGTGGATTAAATAGTGAATAGCCTAGGGGGAGGCTCCCACGCGGGAAGTGCTCTAAGAGCAAGTCCACTCGTTAGGATGGCAAGGGCAAGGGCATGGCATTCGAATTGCTCTTGCTATTATTTTAAAGATTAATTGTTTTTGTGCAAGTCTATTCATTTGGGAAGGGCAATGATAATTACTGTTCACAAATATATTTTTTATGCTTTGATGGCCTTATCATCTACATGCCATTATTGCCTTAGTGTGTTTAAAGAGACCATAGTAAAAATAAATATTAAGTTGTGGTATAGAATGAGAGGATGGTTGGGTATTTGTAGAAATAAAAAAATTAAAAAAATTATGAATTTTTTTACTGTTGGATTCATTCGAACCATTAATTTCCATATTTTTGTTAAAATCAGATGCACCAGATTGTGCCACGTGGCACAACCTATAATTTTCAAAAAAAAAAAATTACTGTTGGAAATTCAACAGTCCAGATGAGAAGACTATTGGAAGGCTAAGGTCAAGGCAAAATTACCTTTCAACTTGGTGGCTTGCACATGGGGGGTTTTGTGGGGGAAGAGGGGGCACTTTGTCCGATGTTTGCTGCCTGAAATCAGCCATGACATAGCCCATTTCCAGTAGGCTCAAAGCCTAGCAAAACTTTGGCTGGGTAGCCGAACAGGCTTGGTGGAGCCCACAAATTGCCCTAAAGAAAATGGACCATTAGGCCTCCTTTTTGTGTTTTGGGCAATTTGGTAATCCTTGCCTCTGCCTTTTGCTCACCGGTGGACTTGCTCTAGCCATTAAAATGTGTCTTAAAATAAGACACGGTCCTGTCTATCCAAACTAGTTTGTGACTACAATCGCTCAAAGCCAAGCTTATTATGTGCAACAAACGTCCACTAAATCTCTACTTCCATTTATTAAAGTTTTCTTGAGTATTATTTCTAACTTGATCATCAAAGAGTTTTGATGAACATCACACAGATGTTCCGTTCACACTCCCGTTAGATTTAGATTATTGTCATTTATCTTTTTAGGGGTATAACTTGACCCAGTCTTTCCAAGCAGAACACAATGTAAGAAGAAACAAAATCAAGACCAAGACAAGCACAAACCAACATGATGTCTAGTACTCCTATAACTTTGTCTCTTGGACATACCAAAAGGAAAAGAAAATAACATGTTCACAGATTATATGGTTTGATAAAATTTATATAAGAAAAAACACAAAGTTACAAAAGGAAAAGGAAGATTAGAGGTTCTCTGAAATTTCCTAGTGAATTAACACTGAGGAGAGGACATACCATCTCAGGTCCAGCAGCTTTTCATAGGAACAAGAGAATACTAGACATCTGACAATATCTCCAAAAAGATATCGAAACAAAACTTTCTAGTTGCTCTCAGCAACTCTTCATTTCTGTCCTCTCACATGTCTTGTGTACTAGTTCTGTTCTCTCATATATAAACCAAAGCAGTTGGCTTAATAAACTAATAAAAAATGGGGAAATGCTTAATACCGTAACTTTTGCTCCCGTCCTTTGTTTTTCCCAACCTGTCTAGTATTTAGGATCAATTATGTGTTCGACAATATGTAGCCGAATGTACATGTTTTGGTCTGCAGCACCTTTACAATTCTTTGAACTCAATAGAAATAAGTGAGATTAGCTTCTCGATAAAGGTAAAAAGGCGGAAAGTTTATGTCTTAATTAAATATTAATCTTTATGATGCACGCTTACTTGTCCAAAGGTGTTTATCCAAACACAAGGAATGTTGAAAGGTAAAGCTCCAAGAAATGAGCTACTCTAGTATTTATGTTCATCAGAAGCTCATGAATAAAATAGATGACAGATAACAAACAAGAGCCATTTTCTTCCTGCTGAGTAAATTTGGTGGATGCACAACATTTGTGCATGATAATTGCAAACCAGTGAAGTCAATTTTCCTTCAATTTTTGCTCAATTGGAGAGGACCCTACTCTCCTACTCCTAGTCCTGGTGAGTTTGATGCAGTAGTAGTTTCTTGTCTCTGCCAATGCACTATGCAGTGTCCCCATTATCTATTAGGGAGTTTTAACGAAAAGTCCACGGTACTGTTCACTTTAACAAAAAATCATATTTTTACACTAAAAAATCAATCTTGGTACTATTCACTTTACCCTTTATTTTATCCTTATCATTAAAACTCAAAGTTTTTAAACTATTTTCGTTAGTTTTCCTTATCTATTATCCTAAACGCCTGCAACATTCTTATAATTTATTGCGATAATTTTGCATTCTTTACATTAGAAGACGAGTGAGAAGGTTGTTAGTGCTTCCCAATATTTCTTTCTTTTGTATCAAGGATGAATTCTCCCTCCGTCCTACTCCGCACCCACGAGGTGTACACCAAAAATGACATAAAGCATAGTCACACAAATCAGTCCCACAACTTGTGCGATGGTTAAATCAAGACTCACAGAGCCGACTGAGGATTGACCAACTAATGTCTGGATTGGGTTTGAAATTAGGTGGAAATCGAACTTGGGTTGCTACTATTGTAGTACTTCAAGTTGCCAACTCAACGGATCTCTTGGCCTCGTCGATCGCTAGGATTGGGTTGATTGAATTTGATAACCCACTAGATTCATTATACTTTGAAGTAAAAAATGGATGTCAACTTCCAAATCCCACTAGATTCATTATACTTTGAAGTAACAAATGGATGTCAACTTCAAAATCTTGTATAAGTTGAAGGTAGAAGATCGATTAGTCACTACTAACGTGGAAGGATAAGTTTTTGTTATGATTACTTTCTTTGATATCTTCAACTCTGACAAGATGTGAAAATTGACATCAATTTCTTACTCAACTATTCAACATACATACTTTTTCATAAACGATACCTAATTTTTCAAGTATGAGATAAAAATAAATAAAAAAACACGTGGTTATGATACATGGTTGAAATCAAGTGAGACCAACTTACTTTTCCATTTCTTGTGTGTCAGCAAACACATGATATGTCAGGAATAGCTGAATAAGAATGAGACACACACCTTGCACACTCATTCATGACGTAATAAACATGACGTTAGCGAGTTATTCAATCTAATGTGTTCCTAGTCACCAAACAAAATACTTCACACAACCTTCACATTTATTTTGGCATTTAAAACCCAAATAAATTTACAACCAACATGACTGTGCCTGATAGATCATGTGCAAGTATGGTTTTGACAATGTGGTGCTTGCTGGCTTGGGAGAACATGGGAAACATAACAACATAAGTGGTTGTTTCTTGCTGGTCATACGACGTTTTAAATTAAAATGTGACCTTTGACTTCACAGTATGAACGATTCTGGCACGCCTAATTTTTTTGAAGAATCACCGTCATCATCTTCTCTCTCTGCATGCGACCTATGATAAGAAAGAGATGTAGCTTAAACTTTAACCAAACCTAAAGAAAAAGTCAGGGGAGGACCACAGACAACAAGAGCAAACATACATCCTCACAAATTCCCATATCCTGCGCAAATCCAATCTCAAACCTTTCCCTACAGAAATTTATGGATGCTGCTAATCTTATACAAGATATGAAAGCCAATTTACGAAGATAATACGCAAGTCATTTACTAAGCATGAGACATTTGTTACTAAATACATTGACATGTTCTGCTTGCTGATAGCATTTGCAATCGACTGATAGAATCTGACTTATCAATGGAACTAGGTACACAAACGTAAAACTGTACAAACAAGGTGCTTAAACTTGCAGACTGCTGACTTCTATGAATATAAGAAGATGGCGTTACTAAAAGGCTCATTGCCTGCTTGCACTCAACTGACATAATCCGACTTCTAAATGCAACAGTTACATTGCTCATTCTCTTAGCAAGTGACCATTTGCAGATTTGAAATAAGGTGTTGGATCAAAACAAAGCAGGGAGTAGGTGTTGACAGGGGACCTGAAAAGGCCGATAGAGAAACAAATCAATGTGGCTAAATAACCTCACAATAAGTTGTTTAGACTTCAGAGTCTAATCTGCTAGAAAACAACCGGAAGCCTGTCAACAGCTATGCATAGTTTAAACCTGTACTAAGATCAAGCTACATCAGTAAGACTAGTTACTCAGCCACAAGAATCATTTCTATGAGTCAAAAGAATAGATAAACACATTCTCGGATTGTCCTAGATTGCGACCATGTATATCATTTCATTTAGCATAATAGAAATACGAGACTACTTCACGAGTACTGGTTTTGGACATGTGCATGGGCGCGAACACAAGGTTCAAAGCCTCTTAAGGCAGGAAAATTTGTTGCAAGAAAATATTCGGTAGTTTGGAACCTTGCCAATGTCTAGTGATGAGTTTGATCACGTTGTAAGAGGCAATCCAACCAAATTACCTAATCATAGAGCTCCCTCTCTCTCTCTCTCTCTCTCTCTCTCTCTCTCTCTCTCTCTCTCTCTAATCTAGTTCAACAAACCAACTAACAAGCACACTGCTCGTTACCCACCTCTTTCTAATTAGAAAAACTCCAAAGTCATTGTTTTGCTCAATCATGCTGAACAACCAAAGACTTTCAGTGCCCAACATTTTACTTCTTTATTGTTTGGTATAAATGACTAGCGTTGCCCGTCTCCATCTCTGGCCTTTTTTTATTGTTCTGTTTCCCTTTTGCCTAGAGGAACTGAACTTACACTTCTATATCTACCCTCATCCCACCCCCTGCGGCACTGATGGACGCCTCAGGTTTAGTTTCAAGCTCAGGTAGATAAGGAGCACAAAGAGGATGTCTCGGACTTATTTTTCTAGATAACCACTCCACTACATATAACAAAATGAATAAGTGATAAAATATACTTGTGTCAATTGTGCGTTTATGCATGATATAATTACTTAAATATGGCAGATCAAGCATGATTGATTGCTTCCATTCATCAGCAAACACCCCCCCCTCCCCCAACCACATCTCAAGAAATAGGTGAGAGAGGTGGAGTTTTAATCTCACAGCGTTTCATTTTCACAAGTTTGGCCACAGAGGGAATGATGATATATTAGAGACGTACTCAATACAGATACCGCCAATAACATAATACACAAAAGAGGGATTATATACTACCATGTTTAATAGTAGACAAAAGACAATCAGAGACTAACGTGAGCTGCTCAGCACATCCACAGACACACGATTTAAAGAGGGCAACCTCATCTGCTGGTTCTGCAGTCTGCTCCTTTTAAATTGAGGATCTGGTGAGGATGAGTCCGGTGATGCCACCGCCCATGAACCATTTGACATGTCACAGCTGAAAGATGCGTTAATAACCCCATTAGGGCTGCTGGGTACCAATAAATGCTTGCGTTTGTGGCTTTGGTTTTCGACTCTCCCTGACAGTTCCAGGATGAGCTTGGAGCACTCATTCACCCTGTCCTGTAAAGGACATAATAATATTCGACTATTTAGCGCATCAATTTGCATTACATTTGCAGAAGCAGGACAACAAATTACATGAGAAGTGACAAATCCGTTTATTAAGTACAAACCTTACTGACTTTAAGTAAATTCATAAGCTGATTTTGGTATTCCACAGGATTAAATGCCTCAATTTCATCAATAACATACAGCATTGTTGCAGTAGCTAATACGGAAGGCAAATAACAAGTAAATCTGGAATCTGCAATAAAATACCGAATCGAAAATAAGATTAGTTCCAATTGTTTTTATGCCTTTTCGATATATATGATTGATACTAAACTACTCATTGATCAGAAAATGAAACAAATTCGATTGCTCACCCGCAATGACGGATAGAAGTAAACGCTCACATCTCCACAGAAACTCCCAATGCAGGTGGATCTTCAAACCGAACCTCCTGATGATGTGATCAAAGTATGAATTTGGGGTCACCGGATTCATCCTCCACGCAAGAGTCGATAGCACCAAAAGCTCCATTCTTTGAATGGTTTTTGCTTCGAAAACATACTTTGATTCCTTCACCTAAACACAATCACAAGATATCCAGTAAACAAAACAGTCTAGCAATTTCACAAACACTCAAATTGCACATGGAAATTTATACATACTTGCAAATCTAAGAGAAGGGGCACATGGGTCTCCTCCACTTTGGCGGCCAACGAGACGCAGGCGACAGCGGCGAGCTGACTCATCCACGGCTTGTCCCTCTGAAACGGCCGACTGGCAATGAATCTATCAAAGTAGTTCACAGCTAGAACGGTGGTCAAAGAGGAGAACCCATAGTGTGCCTTTACACTAAGAATCCACTCAACCGCCTCTTTCCGAGCTGCCATTAAAGACCCATCTGAGATTTCGCCACTGAAACACACATGGGTTTGTTCCTCTTTGGAGATTAGAGAGGAAAGTTCATCATTTTCCCAGAAAATATCACTTTCCAGAACAACCAAAGGGAAAGATGAATGCTTTTTTGAAAACCCATCACAGTTCTCGCTCTCCTCATCACTACCATTGTCTCTCAAATCTTCCTCAAATCCTTCCTCGCAGAATAATAAAAGGTCGAACGCCATTGGAGGGTTTTGGAGCTCTTGGGGTTCTTCTTGCAGAGCCATCTTCTTCGGAGAAGAAGAGAATAAAAGTCTTGGTCATTACACAAAATGAACAAGGGAGAGAGAAGGGGTTGAACTCATGCCCATATACATCTCTGAATCTGTTTCTTTCTCTCTCCGGACCTTTTTAGGAGAGACACAGAGCGCCAAACGTAGGAAGCAGACGAAGGGTTTTATTTCAGAAGCCCTTCACGCCCGTACTTTTTTTGGACATTGTCTGCCCCTTCCACTTCTGGTGTCCTTCCGTGTCCTATTGTTTGTGTGGTCACGATTAAGCTATATTAACATTTTATATTACTATTCATTTTTATTTTATTATCTTTATAAAAAAAATAAAATATTGATGTGGTGTAACCGTGACCACACAAAACGGGAGGGCATCAGAAATGGGAGGGCAGACAATCCTTGTCCTCTTTTTTTTGGTGCCTTCACGTTCAACCATTACTTTACAGAGTAAATTGTAGTAATGGTCCATCAACTTTAATTAGATTTGAGCAATAGTCCCTTAACTAAAAATCAATTACCATTGATCCCTCAACTCGTCAAAATGTGTAGATATGATCTTTTTCGTCAACTTTGTTAGAATTTTGTCAAAATAAGTTATGTTGAAATGACTATTGCTACAATTAGGATCCCTCAACTGATCAAAACATGTAGTTATGATTATTTTCGTCAACTTCGTTAGAATTTTGTCAAACTGAGTTATGTTGGTAGGATCATTGCTACAATTGGGTTAAAGTTAAGGGACTATTGCTCCAATTAGGTTAAAGTTGAGGGACCATTTTCCTAATTGGATTAAAGTTGAGGGACCAATGATAATTGACTTTTAGTTGAGGGACTATAAATACACGTTTTGATAAGTTGAGGGACCAATGGTAATAGATTTTTAATTGAGAGACCATTACTCCAATTAAGTTAAAGTTAAGAGATTATTACTACAATTTGCTCTTACTTTACAGGGGCAAGGCATTTCAAATTAGGGATAATTTGATATAGATCCAATTTTGTGAGAGATTAGTAGAATTTGTCTACTTCATTGAAATAGGTCCAATAATTAAGATTTCATGTATGTTTATTTGTGGTTTGTACCATATTTACCCCTTAGGCTTACGAATTGTAGTAAATACACAAAATTTCTTAATTATGAGATAATTTGTGGTTTAACTAATCCCTTAATTGTAGGATTAGTTATAGCCATATAATCATCTCAACCCCCAGTCTGTTTCATCCCTCATTTTTTCCTTCTTCCAAACAATTCCCTCTATCAATCCTCCTCTCTTCTTTTCATGGGTGATATTTTTGTGTTCTTCCCTCCAAATTCGTTCCTTTAATGGAGGTATATTATATCATATTTTTATTTTTATGTTCCGCCATGTAGGTTCCCAGCATTTTTCTTCCAATACAATAGGTAGTTTATTTTTGTTTTACGGGTAGATTATATCTGTTTTGTAGGTATAAAGCATTTTCTTCCTATACAATAGGTAGGTAGTTACTAGATTATATCGGTCTTGTTTTCTTCATAAATAGTAGGTAGTTACTAGATAATATTTTAGTTTGAGTATTTAAATATTCAAAATTTAAAAACTGAATAAATGATAAAAAATTAAAGAATTTAAATATTTTTATCTGAAGGGGCAAAATTGATATCAAAATATGTAATTGGATAACTGGACTCAGTCCCAAAAACTATCTAAGTTTTTGGACCTAGATCCAAAAGCCCCTTCAAATTATTACTAATTGACTTGGATCTATAAAAAGAAGAAGTCAAGGCATTTCAAATTATTTATTGACACAGACAAAGTTAAGAAAAACTTGTATCGGACCTTGAAGATATAGTTTCGAATGTGATCTCTATTTTTGAATTCGGTACCAACAAATATCACCCCCCTGAAACAACATTCTCTTTTTTTTTTTTTTTTGCTTTTACAAGTTTTTTACTTGATGACCCCTCAAATATAATTCAGTGTGTCATGTTTAAATTTGTACACTTTCTTAAAAGTTCTTTTAAAACCGCTATTCACCTCTGAAAATGAACATTTTGAAGAATCCTCACACATTTGTAAACAAAAATAAACGTAGAATCAGTACTTTCGAGTAATATATATAGCTTGTAGTAAATGGTAAAGACCAACAATAATGATTCTGTCGTATGCAAGCATCAAGGACTTATTAATATTTCTCTCCACATTTATTAAAAAAGTCTTTTTTCTTTTTAGCAAATAATATTATCTATATTCGGGAAGAAGGTGAGCTTAGCTTCACAATGGACTAATAATAATGCGGTTCAAATTCGTTTCTGATGAGAATCAAACATAAAACATCTCACTTACATGTGAAAGGAATACTACTAGACCGTAGTTCTAAGTGGCTTATTAAAAAAAGTCTTAAATCCAAAAGTTATCCATTCATATAAAGTGATACGATGAAAAATATAAATTTCTTTTGGTTCATATCGGGAAATGATATCTATTGTATACTGTGACATCGAACATAAAAAGTAAAATAAAATAAGGGTAAATTACGCAAAATTATCTCAACTATGGATCTAACCACAATCTCATACCTCATATTTTAAACATTTCAATTTCATACCTCTTATGAATTTGTTGCAATATCAGACCTCCGTTAAAGTTTTTTTTAATTTGGTTGTTAAATGATGACGTGGCAAGAGCGGGGCCCACTCATTCTCCAACTAAAATAAAAAAATTAATTAATTTTTATTTAACAATTAAAATGAAAAAAAAAAAACTCTCTTCCTCAAATATTTCCAATTCCCCAAGTCGGCTCCACTACCCTTCTCATTCCCTAATTGCCGACTACCTTCCCAAAGACCTGCACCGTCCACCCACCCATCATTCTCAGCCGTCCTCATCGTTCTTCTCTTCAACCACCCCTTCCTCGCCCCACCTCTGCTCTTGACTTCCTCTTCAACTCCTTCTCCAACATCACCAATGTCACCGACCTCACTCTCATCAACGACGCCCAGTTCTACGCTGTCTACATCTTCTACCCAACAAAAATTCCCATAAAACCAACCTTCAACTCCACCTCTGTTACCTCCTTCACCACCTCCTTCGTCTTCTTCGTCTTCCCGGAAATTGCAACGATCCCGAGATTCGGACTCTGCTTCGTCCTCTCCAACTCTACCTCGCCGCCCAACGCCCTCGCCAGCCAATACTTTGGCTTCTTCACCAATGCCACCGTCCCCTTCGTCGCCCCGTTGCTCGCCGGCCAGTTCAACATGAGTCGAAACCTGGAATTCAATGACCCAAATAGGGATCGCATCGGCGCCGACTGAGCCGTCGGCAGAGGCCTGGCAGATATCGAATAGGCTGTCAAATACGAGGCAGTCATCGTCGACGTTGAAGCGCATGAGGTGACGGGAGTGGACGGAATCGGCGTGGGTCTCGGGTTTTTTTTTGTGAAAAATTTGCGAACTGGAAAAATTTAGGGAATTGGAAAATTAGAGGAAGAATTTTTTTTTTTTTTTTTCATTTTAATTGCTAAATAAAAAATTATTAATTATTAATAATTAATTAATATTTTATTTTAGTTGGGAAATGAGTGGCCTTCATTCCTGCCACGTCATTATTTAACAGCCAAATTGATAAAAAATTTAACGGAAGTCTGACATTGCAACGAATTTATAAATTGAGGTATGAAATTGCAATGTTTAAAATATAACGTATGAGATTGTTGTTCGACTCATAGTTAAGGTAGTTTTGTGTAATTTACACATATAATAAATATAGGGACGAATCCTTGGCATTATTTTTTATACACAACTTTTGACACATGTTTTTGTAGCGCCACTTCGTAATGTATTTCAATTATCCAAACAGTCTATCTTTAATGTCTTTCCTCCAAAATCATGTCTACAAAAAATCAGCCAAATATAAGACCATATGACAATAGGATTAAGGGTTTCTTTGTAGAACCGTAATTGTCCATTTCTTCACTTCAAATGAATGTCTTAATGGCTTTGGGTTTGTCTAATTTTTTGCACAAATGATCTATGAATGATGTTCTAAAAGATCGATGGTTTGGATTGTTAAAATACATTATGAAGTAGCCCCCACAAAAATGACACACCTCGACCCCAATCGAGACATGCTGGTCGTCACATGAGGGTGACGTAGCCATGTGCGCTGTGCGGAAGTGAACGTGATATGAAAATACGGATAAATAAGAACTTGCTAACTAATTACACTAGACTAACATATCAGTGCGAGTGAAAATGTTTAGAGTAAAGGACACACATAACCAGAGTGTAGATATCATAATGCAATCTAGAAGTTAAGTTACTAATTATATGGATCATAGAAGAAACCATACACTGGTGAATGTCTGTCAGAACCGCTGTGAAGTCCTCATGAGCCACCAACACAAACTTCTATCTAGAACCTGGAGAGATGTAAAACAGAAAGTGTGAGTGGGCAAAAACAAAACTTTCAAAACCATTTATCTTTTTAAATGTAATAACCCCTACTGTAAAACCCGTAAAAGTTTCCCAGAAAATAATACTGTAAACATATATGAAAACTATACTCAAGAATAACCAAACCATGTGTATGCCATGACAATCATCTCAACCATGAATAAGTAAGCCAGGTGAATTGCACTAATATAAAGTGACATATCAACCGGAATCACCTAACGTGACCTGTACAGCTGAATCTAGAACTCAACAATCAAATCAAATCCTGCACACAAGTCGAAACCACCTATGTGGTCTAGTACGACAGGCTAGGTGTAAACAAGTACGCTCAAGTGCTACGATCACATGAAGGCTATGCAAAGTATCGCAAGTCACCTACGAGTCGGAACCATCTAATGTTGTCTGTACGACAGGCTAGCACCTGCCTATGATCCAAGGTGAGCGTATGGTGTAGGAGGTGACCAATCATGTGAAGGCTAAGCCTTACCCTCGGGCGGAGCACTAACACCTGGGTGCAGGATATAAATCATTGAAAGCAACTCATTATAATCGTATACACTACCATCACAACCATTGCTATATACTCACCTAAAGCTTAGCTAAGCGTCCCCAGCGTCGATCAGTAATATGCATAGCTATATTAAAGCATATTCTAATATGTAATGCATATGACATGACATTTAAAACATAAATACCATTTAAACAGTTTCTGGGAAACATAAGGCATATGTATGTGTATAT